TATATATATAAATATATATATATATATATTATTTTAGTTTAGTTTAGTTTAGTTTAGTTTAGTTTATTTTACTTTATTTTACTTTATTTTATTTTATTTTATTTTATTATGTTATGTTATATTATATTATGTTGAATTATATCATATTGTATTATATTATATTATATTATATTATATTATATTATATTATATATTATATTGAAGCATTAGAAATGCAGTATTGATTAGATAATATAAAAATATAAAATAATAGAGGGGTAGAAATAGAGTAAAAGAGAAGATAATAGAATAAAAGATAATAAAATTAAGTAAAAGATAATAAGATAAAAGATAATAAAAGAAGATGCAGCACATCCTAACACTCCTACTACTACTCCTATGCTGCTACGACTACTATTCCTGCTGCTTCTGTTGATGCTGCTGTTGCTGCTGCTGCTGCTGCTGCTGTTGCTGCTATGTTTGATGTTAGGTGCGAACTGGCGAGTGAAGCTGATGCCTTTGAAGTTTGAGAAGAGGAGCAGCGCAGCAGTAGAAGCAATTGCCTATTCGCTGCAGATGGGTGCAGCAATCAGCACAAACTCTTGGGGCTTCTCTTTTCGGTCGGAAGCTCTGCGCTTAGCTTTAGAACAAGCTGAAGCACAAGGACAGCTGTTTGTTGCTGCTGTTGATAATGCAGGAGCAGATAATACCACGTAATACCTTCTGCTGCTGCTGCTGCTCATGCTGCTGCTCATGATGCTGCTGATGCTGCTGCTGATGCTGATGCTGATACTGCTGATGCTGATGCTGATACTGCTGATGCTGATAACGCTGCTGCTGATACTGCTGCTGATGCTGATGGTGCTGCTGATGCTGATGGTGCTGCTGCTGCTGATGGTGCTGCTGATGGTGCTGCTGATGCTGATAATGCTGCTGCTGCTGATTGTGCTGCTGATGGTTCTGGTGGTGGTGGTGCTGCTGCTGCTGCTGCGACAGCGGCTACTGGACCTGCTCCTGCTGCTCCTGTTGCTTCTTTGACTGCTTCAGCCTCTGTCTCTGCATCTTCTGCTGCTGCTGCTGCTGCTACTGCTGCTGCCTCTGGATCTGCTGCTGCTGTTGGTGCTGCTGCAGCATCACTGTTACAAAATATTTTTATTTTGTGTATGAGTGTGTTTGCGCATTATTACAAACGCCGACCCCCTGAACTTGAATATATAAACAAACGACCCCCCGACAAAATAAATAAAAACAAAATAAATATAAATAAAAACAAAACAAATATATATACATATTTAATCACTAACAGAAGCAAAGACTTTCCGCCTAACTGGGGATACGACTGGCGCACTGGCCGCGGCTTTCGCAATTTGCTGCGAGTCGCAAATTTAGCCCCGACCGGCAAACTCTCTGCTTCATCCAACTATGGTATCAATCACACTCCTGCTGCTGCTGCTGCTGCTGCTGCTGCTGCTGCTTATGCTGCTGCTGCTGCTTATGCTGCTGGTGTTGATGCTGCTGGTGTTGATGGTGATGCTGACAAGTAGCAGCAGCAGCAGCACCACAACTAGCAGCAGCAGCAGCACTAGCATAACCATCATCAGCAGCACTAGCACAATCAGCACTAGCACAACCACCAGCATCACCAGCAGCACCAGCAGCATCACCAGCAGCATCAGCACCAGCAGCATCAGCACCATCACCAGCAGCAGCAGGAGCAGCAGCAGGAGGAGCAGCAGCGGAAGCATTTGTGTGTGCTACGCAGGGCGTTACAACGTGGATTTGGCTGCGCCTGGGACGGACATCATTTCGACTTTGCCGGCCAGCCAATTCGGCGACCGATACGGCTTCAAGAGCGGCACCTCTATGGCCACCCCCCTTGTTGCAGGTCTATATACAAATATATATATTTATTGTTTATATTTATTGTTTATATTTATTTATTTATTGTTTATATTTATATTGTTTATATTTATATTGTTTATATTTATATTATTTGTGTTTATATTTATATTAGATTGTTTATATTTATATTTTTGTGTTTGTTTGTATTTTGTTTTTATATTTGTTTTTGGCTATTTATGCATTTTACATTTTTACATTTTTATGTCTGTTTACACAATTATATAATATCTAGATGTATGTGTATATGTATATATATATATATATTTATATATATATATATGTGTATATGTATATGTATATGTATATGTAAGTGTGTGCTTATATATATATATATGTATATATATATATGTATATGTATATATATAGATGTATATGTATATATATTTATATATGTATATGTATATATATGTATATGCATGTGTGTGGTTGTATATTGTTATTAATGTTTATACGCAGATTTTGTTTGTTGCTGCTCAGGTATTGCTGCGTTGGTGTGGGGGGAGCGTAGGCATATGGCTGCAGCAGAAGTGCGTGATGTGCTGCTGTACAGCGTATCTCCTTTAGCTTCGCTTCAAGACAGCGTAGCAACAGGAGGCGTGGTTAATGCTGCAGCAGCAATACAGCTGGTGCATGCGCTTAATAATCACGACAGAGGGATTGAAACGCCCGAAGCAACAGCATTTTATCGCTGGCAGCAGCAGCAGCACCTGCAGCAGCAGCAGCTTATCAGCAACACATCGAACACCAACAGCAGCAACACAACTGCAGCAGGAAAAGCTCCGCATGATCAATACATTACACCTGGTGCTGCTGCAGCATCAGCAGCAGCAGGAGCAGCACCAACCTCTCAAGGCCTAATAAATAACCCCTCGTCTGCTGCTGCTGCTGCAGCAGCAGCAGCAGGCCAATCCGGTACATCCCCTTATCCCTATAACCCAGCAGCAGCAGCAGCAGCAGCAGGCAGCCACCCATACCCTGTGCTTGTTATACCCGCACATCCTGCAGCAGACAGCAGCACCGCCTTAGCTCCGTCTTCTTATACTTCTCCTGATGCAGCCGCCAGCAGCAGCAGCAGCAGCGGCAGCAGCAGCAGCAGCGACAGCAGCAAGGCAGCACTGAGCGCCGCAAGCTCCCCGCTCACCTTCTTCTCCAGGCTCCTGGATCCCTTCGCACTCTTCGCTCGCTTTGTAAGAGCATCATCATTGTAGCAGCAGCAATGCATGCAGCAGCAGCAGCAGCAGCAGCAGCTGCAGTTGCAGCAGCATAACACATGCAGCAGCATATGCAGCAGCAACACACGCAGCAGCTGCAGTTGCAGCAGCAACACACGCACGAACAAACATATGCAGCAGCAACAGCAGTAGTAGTAGCAGCAGCAGCAGCAGCAGCAGCAGCAGTTGCTGTTGCTGCTGCCGTCTTTTGGCTTCCCAGCACTGCACACCGCCATATGCCTCCGTCTCTCCTTCTATTTCTTTATATTTATAAATATAGATATATATAAATATATAAATAAATAAATGAATATATGTATATACTTATATATATTTATTTATTTATTTATATCTGCACATATATACATATATATATGTACAGAACCCTATATAGATATATATGTATATATATGAATATATATAAATATATAAATATATATTATATATATATGTATATGCATATATATATAATATATATACATATATAAATGTATATATATATATGTAGGCGTAAACTGAAGAGCGACCTAATTAGATAGCGATACACCATTTGCATGCACACACATCAATATATATATATATATTTATTTATTTATTTATTTATATATATATATATATATATTAGTATTAGAAGAAGTTAAAGTAGAGAAGCAGTCATTAGGCTTAGGAAGCAAAAAACAAAGGCGCAAACAACAAAAATAAAAAAATAAAAAGGCCGCAAGACAGCAGATATCTGCCTGTACACCTAAATAAAATGAATGCAAGTGCAGCAAAAACAAAACAAAACAAAACAAAAGCTATAAAAACAAAAGATATAAATAAATATATATATATATATATATGTATATATAAGATATAGAAAGAAAAGCAATACTGAAGAGGGAGGCAAATGCGTTTGTTTAAAAGGATTTATTATTAATATGCATGCAGCAAATAGCAGACACACAAACAAAACCGAAGAAAACCGACTGTCTCTGATTATCTCTGTCTTTGTCTGTCTTTGTTTGTTTATTGCGTTTGTTTGTTTATGCTGTTTATTTATTTATTTTATTTATTTTATTCTTTGTGTCTGTTTATATATTTATTTATACTTATTTTTTATTTACTTTTATTTATTTATTTGTATTTATTTATTTATTTTTATTTATTTTTTCTGTCGCTTTCTCTGTCTGTCTGTTGTTCATTTACTCGTTTTGTTTCTCTCTCTTTTTGCTGCTGCTGATGAATATCTTTCTTAAAAAAATGCTGCTGCGTATATATTAACAAAAAATAAGACGCCATATCTCCTCCTCACAGCTTCTGCAGCAGCAGCAGCAGCAGCAGCAGCAGCAGCAGCAGCAAAGAAAAACCCCGTCTGTTCCTTCTCTGCTGTGTCAAACGCATGCAGCGGCCACCCCACAACTGCAGCAAGATCTCTGGAGCTGTCTGCTGGCTCTAGCAGCAGCAACAACAGCTGCAGCAACAGCTGCAGCAGCAGCTGCTGCAGCAGCAGCAGGTGAATGTACTTCACAGCAACGATCGAGACACGCCAACACCGCCGTGGCTTCCGCGCTGCTGCTGCTGCAGCCGCAGCAGCAGCAGCACACTGATGCAGCTCGGGCCACCCTTCTGCTCCTCTGGCATTCCGCTGCTGCTGCTTCTGTTGCTGCTGTTGTTGCTGCAGCTGGTGCTGAGGCAGCTGCTGCTGCAGCTGCTGTGAGCCTAAGCAAGCACGAGAAATCCACGCGGTGTCTGTGCAGCAGCAGCAGCGACGAGAAAAACAGCAGCAGCAGCAGCAACAAGAACAACAGCAGCAGCATCAGCAGCGGCACCATCACCAACAACAGCAGCAGCAGCCGAAGCAAGCTTGCTGCAGCAGCACTGCAGCAAATGAAAAGCAGATGATGAAGCAGCGCTGCCTCCAAGCGGAGACAATCCCTTCGTTTCCTCACCCCCTCACAAGGCGGCGGGTCCCTGATAGTTAGCTCCTTAGCTAGCTAGCTAGCTAGCTAGCTAGATGTTCAGCTAGCTAGCTATCATGCATGCACTAGCATGCAAAACAGCTAGATAGCTAGGTAAAAAGGCCAGCTAGCTAGCATGCATAGTTAGCTAGCTAGCTAAAGCGCTAGCTAGCTAGCTAAAAGGCCGGCTAGCTAGCATGAAAACAGCTAGCTAGCTAGCTGGCTAGCTAAGGGGCCAGCTAGCTAGCTAGCTAGCTCGGCAGCTAATATGTTGTGAGCCGCTTAATACGCGACCTGTTCAAGGCGCCGCAAAGCCCCTCTCCAGAGTAAGGCCGTAGCAAGCAGCTAGCTAGCTAGCTATCTAGCTAGCTAGCTATCTAGCTAGCTAGCTGGCTAACTAACTAGCTAGCTAGCTATGAGACCAGCTACGTAGCTAGCTAGCTAGCTAGCTGATAAACCTCAACGTCGCTGCAAGTCAGCAGGGCTTCCCATTAGCAGCAACAACGCAAAGTGCTGCAGCAAGAGAGCAAGGCTTCGCTGCCGCTGCAACTTCTGCTGCTGCTGCTGCTGCGTTGGTGGCGGCGCTGGCTCAACCCCTCCCGCACTTACTAGTGCTGCTGTGCTGCTGCTGCAATTCGTTGCGCTGCTGCTGCTTCTCCTACTGGTTAAATCCTAGTGCTGCTGCTGCTGTTGCTGAGGAGACGAAGGCCGTTAGTCCTGCGCAAAACAAAAAATAGATTCTGTCTTCTGCTGCAGCAGGAACAGCAGCAGACAGACAAATAGAAGCAGCAGCAGCAGCAGCAGCAACAGCAGCAGCATCAGCAGCAGAGAGGGGGTACCTTCTGTTTGTGTGGACGGGGGCTTTTGCTCCTGCGGCTATCATCTTCGTCGCTGCTGCTGCTGCTGCTGCTTGTATCTTTTTCTCTCTTGCGTTTCTTGCTGCTGCTGCTGCTGCTGCTGCTGCTGTTTGCTGCTTCCTCCCTCTTTCGCTTCTTCTCTAATTTCTTCAGGCGCTTTGCTTCTTTTTTTGCTGCTTTTTTTGCTGCTCTTTGCATGCGTTTTGCTTCTTTCTTTTGCTGCTTCTGCTGCCGCTTCCTCTCTGCAACAGCAGCGCGAATTGTCGAATCCATCATAAAGAACGGCAGCTCTTCCTGCTGCTCCCCCTCGCTGCTGCTGCTGCTGCTGCTACTGCTGCTGCTGCTACTGCTGCTGCTGCTGCGGTGGCGGCGGCCGTGCTTGCTGCTGCGACGCCGCTTCTTGTGGTGGTGGTGGCTCTTCTTCCCGTTGCTCTTCATGTTGCTGCTGCTGCTGCTGCTGCTACTGCTGCTGCTGCGCTCTTCTGCTGCAGCAGGAGCTGCAAGGGGCTTGCCCCCTACAAGAGCGGAGACTGAACCTGCAGAAGCACCAACGCAAAATCTCTCAACCCTGAATGCATGCCTACGTCTTGCTGCTGCTGTTGCTGCTGCTGCTGCTGCTCCCGCTGCTGCTGCTGCTGCTGCAGCAGAGGGTCTGGGGCCTACCTCGTGTGCTTGACATTGCTGCTGTAGTAGTAGCAGTAGGAGCAGCAGCAGCCGGAACGCTTAGAAGGTACCGAATGTTTGTTTGCTGCTGCAGCGGTTGCGCTGCTTACACGCCAGCAGCAAGAGCAGCAGCAGCAACGAGCAGCAGCAACGAGCAGCAGCAACGCGCAGCAGCAACAGCGCGTGGGGGTACTCCCTGATAGCCCTAAAGCTGAAAGACAGCACTAGGAGACTGCTGCTGCTGCTGCTGCTTTTCTGCTGCTGCTACAACCAACGTGTAGCAGGGGCCCCCGTAGCAACAGCAGCAGCTGCAGGAGCAGCAGCAGCAGCAGCCGCAACGGGAGTTAAAGGAAAGGGGCTTCTAAAACAGCAAATGCTGCTGCTCCTTAACTACGTGCGCTACGAAGAATTTGCCTGAATAGGAGGTGTCAAGGCAGCTCCAGCAGCAGCAGCAGCTGCTGCTGCTCCTGCTGCTGCTGCTGCTGCTGCTGCTGCTGGTCTTGCTGCTTGCTGCAGTTGCTGCAGCTCAAAGTTGCCATTGAAAAGGAGCCCTTATAACATTTGTTTTTCTTCCCAGCGAACTTCTCCTCTGTTTCCTGTGCATGCATGCAGCAGCCCTACAGCAGCAGCAGCAGCAGCAGCGGCAGCCGCAACAACAACCCCAGCGCCCCCCAGGTGGGTGCAGCAAAGAAGTTTATTTTGCATGCAGATTCTGCTGCGCTTTGTCTCCTGGCTGCTTTATTGAGGCCACAGCACACGTGGAGCTACCTATACACCCGAATTTAGGTATAACACCTGCAGCAGTTTCTGCTGCTGCTGCTGCTGCTGCTGCTGAGGAAGACGCCGGTCTCTGCAGCAGCTGCTCGCGGCGATGCTGCACACTGCTTGAGCTGCTGCGCCCTTTTTAATCTTTGCTTCTTCCACCTCCTGCTGCTGCTGCTAGTGCTGCTGCTGCTGCGCTAGTTGCAGCGAGACACCAAGTCGGCAGCAGTTGTGCTGCAGCAGTAGCGGTGCTGCAGCAACAGCGGGAGAAGCAGCAGCAGCAGCAGCAGCAGCCATGCTGCGACCATCCCGCAGTAAGGCCGACCCCCTGTAGCCGCAGCTGCCGCCGCAGCAGCAGCAGCAGGGAAAGCAGCATTCGCTGCAGCGGCAACTGCAGCAGGAGCATTTGCAGCAGCAGCTAGGCCGATGGCGCTGCTGTGGCTGCGCCCCTGCAGCAAAGAAGCGCAGCAGCAAGGAGGTCTTTGCTGCTGCTGCTGCTGCCACGCATCATTGCAATCACCGCGTGGGCAGTGCAGCGGCAACAGCAAAATCAGCAGCAGCAGGAGCAGCAGCAGCAGCCCATGACAAACTACAGCAGTGCTGATGCAGCAGGGCGTGGAGCTGCAGCAGCAGCGGCCGTTGCAGCCTGCCTCCCCTGCGGGGAGCAGCAGAGCGGCCGCCTGCAGCAGCAGCAACAGCAGCAGCAGCAGCAGCAACTCCGCAGGGACACCACGCAGTGTGCGCTGTGCAGATGTTGCCGCTGCCATGGAGCTGCTTCCTAAGGATCTAGCTCAGCAGCAGCAGCAGCAGCAGCAGCAAGTCTATTCACCGAATAGAGGCGCAGGGCTTCGCGTTGCGTCGTTTCCGTACCTGGTGCAGCAGCAGCAACAGCAGCAACAACACCCGCAGCAGCAGCAGCAGCAGCAGCAGCAATCGGCGCCTTCGTCCACAGCCAGGAGCCGCGATCCGCCGCTTTCCCTGCTGGATGCGGTTGTTCGTAACCACAGCAGCAGCAGCGGGAGCAGCAGCAGCGGCAGCAGCAGCAGCGGCACAAGCAGCAGCAGCAGCAACAGCAGCAACAACAGCGGCTGGGGGGCCTTCGTGCCCAATCATGGCAACAGCTTTGCATTTGCTGGAGTCGGTGTGCAGCAGCAGCAGCAGCAGCAGCGACAGCAGCCGCAGTGGCAGCGGCAGCTGCAGCAGCAGCAACAGCAGCAGCAGCAACAGCAGCAGCGACACAGCAGTCCACTCTGGGAGAACCTGCATCCGCAGCAGCAGGCGCAGAAGTCGCCTTTGCTGCAGAAGCCGCAGCAGCAGCAAATGCAGCAGCCACAGCTTCATCTGCAACGAGCCCAGCAGCAGCAGCAGCAGCAGCAGCTGGCGCAGCGGCAAAGCAGCCCGCTCCGGCTGCAGCAGCAGCAGCAGCTGACCCGTCCGTGGCTGCAGCAGCAGCAAGCGCCTTCTGCG